TGTTACTGAAGACTGGATTGACGTAGGCAAATTTCTAAGAGAATGTTTGACAATGCCAAATGTGTGTGAGCAAAGAAGCCTGATATTGGAGACTCAGGTATTCATGAGTCAGAGTTAAAGAGAGGAAAGTTTTTAATTGCACTGGAATGCCTTCTGTCATTTGAAACGAGCTGGATTACACAATTTCTAAATAATCAGATGGTAAGCCAAACCTATGGAAAGGACTTTCAACCTCTGGTTAAAGAAATGAGCACTGGCCACTTAGAGAAAATAATGAGGACAGAACGAGATTTTCCAGGACACAGGTAGAACACAAAACAATCGAAAATGAACTCGACAGCAGTGCTGAGATGAAATGAGATTAATGAACTAATAGTTCAATTGAGGCTTTTCTTGTGATTCTGAAGACTAAGTTTATCACGTAAACTTCAGAGGAATTTCTAGGTCATGTGATGAGATTTCCAGGTCTGATGAAAGCAAATACAATCAAATGGCCCCCAAGTTCACTTTCAATGTCTCTATTTTCTTCTAAATATCTTCATTCTAAAGTTTACAAAGCCAATATTCTTTTTTCTCTATCAATTTGTTTTTGCCAAGTTTTTCTTCACCTACAGGGCTAAAAGCAAAGCATTTTTCTTTTGCATATTTCTCCTGGTAGGTTACTTCAACCAAGGCAGTAGAACAGTAGCTTACACTTAGCTCAAATATAAAATTTTCTTATATTTTTAACATTCTGTCCTCAACTTCTCCCCCTTTTCTCCAATTCATTCCCATTGATTATTTATCTTTGTGTTCATTAAGATAACCCTGAAAACTTAAGCTCACAAAACAGTTGATGGTTATTATTATTTTAAGATCCAAGAAGAGAACTTTTAATAAATGTGTTTTTATTGATTTTTTTATATAGATGAGGGGGGAGGGAGAGAGAGAGGGAGAGATCCACTTGTTTCCTGACTGGGAATTGAACCCAGGACTTTTCGGTGCACAGGATAATGCTTAACCAACTGAGCCACACAGGCCAGGGTGAGAGCACTTTCTATCTCAATTAGATAGCCCACATATTTACTTGCAATCTAATTGTATAATATTATACAAAATATTTTTTTCAATTTCTTTATTTCTATTTACCACCAATCTATACTAATAAAAGAGTAATATGCTAATTAGACCGGACATCTTCCGGATGTCCTTCCAGAAAAAGCCACAGCAGCTCGACGGCTGAGAGGGCCAGGGCTCAGGCTGGGCTAAGGGACCCCCCCCTCTCCCGAGTGCATGAATTTTTGGGCACTGGGCCTCTAGTTTATGTATAAGTTATTCAATGTAAGCTGTTTGTGTCTGTACATTTAGACACAGAAGATCTTAAGAAGTAATGTTAAAATTTTATTTTCTCTCAGCTACTTCCAGTCCTTGAGAAACAGAGACTCATGGTAGGTAGCTATTTACTCCACAGTGTGTCCTTTTCATTACTCTATCTTAAAATTGTTTTCAAAAATTATTGTTTTATTTTATGATTTTCTAGTGAAAACCAAAAATCATCAACACTTCTCTGCTTGCCTTCTGAACCTTTTATATTCTTAAATTCAATATGGATGAAATATCTTGTTCACAGCCAAATGCAGTATACATTTTTCTGATCGTTAGTTTATGATAATAACTGATAGAGCAGTCAGCTTTTTAAAAATCGCTTTAAGTTCCCTGGCTGCGTGGCTCAGTCGGTTGGAGCATTTTCTGAGCACCAAATGGTGGAAGATTCAATTCCCCACTGGGGTGCGAACAGGAAGGCAACCAATCAATGTTTTTCTCTCACATTGATGTCTCTCTCCAGCTAAAATCAATAAATAAATAAAATAAAATTGCTCTAAGGATGAATATTTTTGTCTACTAACTTGAATATTTGGAACACCTGGTAAAACTCACAAGGAGTGATGATCAGTATAAACAGGTTGGAGAGGGAGCTGGACTAAATAAAACATTTAATAGGAGAACAAACAATCAAGATTTACCATGGACTTATATAGACTCGGTCAGTTAATAATGGCAGGAACAGTTGTTTTGTATGCATATGCTATCGAGCAGAAAGAGTTTGTCCACCCAGCACTAGCAGAGCCAAGCACTAGACAATGAGAATTACAGTGGAGAGATATTGGCTATTTTATTATGAATGGTAAGCTAATGCTCAATGCTGGATGATCCCGATGGCTGGCGTGTAGGTTACAGATTATATACGGCAAAATTGCAGGACACCATGGGTTAGGGGCTCAGGGTCCTGCTGCAAGCTGATTGGGGAGGTAAGGGTAATTCATTTCTTCAGGTCTTGAGGCTAGCTCTGAGGTCTTGTCCTACAGCCCTTTGTCTGGTCTCATGAGGAAGTAGCCAGGGGGTTGTTTCACCTTAGATCTGAGGAGCTGTAACATAACTTAGGTCAAGATGCTATCTTTCGCCTGCCAGAGGTTCAGACCTGGTGATTATTAGTCAGGTCCGGGCTATTGTCTGCGGCCTCTGAGTTTGCTGATTATCTAGGGGAAAGGCTAGATCTCTTAGGAATATATATGTTTGAGAGAAGTGATTTCTAGAGCTAGAATTCAATGGTAAATTTAATCATAATCATAAGGACCCTCAGTTTCACATACAGTTATTCCTATATGCAAAACCAATATAAGTCTACAGGTGCCAATCTTACAGAAATGGAACATATGAGAGTGCATCAAAGCTGTTGTTGAGAAGAGAGAGGCATTACTTTCGGGTCATATTGAAAGAGCACAATGAACTGGAAAAGTCTCTTCAAAGTGACTACCTCTTAAAAATAAAGACAAAAATGAAGAAAGGCAAATCTATTTTTTCCTAATGTTTTATTCTTTGAGTGTGGAAGAGTGCGGTGTATATCCTTAGAAGAATGTCGATTGCTTGGTTTTGAAAAGCTTCAGAGTTCCGTTTGAAACTCAAAGGTGTGTCTTATGAATTGAGTTTAAGAGAACTTGAAAGAGTTCTGATAACTTTCCAAGATGAGAAACATACTGATTTCTTAATGTCTAATAAGATTTTCAACCCATTCAACAGGTGTGTTTTAAAAAATGTATTTCTCTGCAAACATGTTTATTGGTTAGAATACTTTTTTACTCTTCTTTTTTTTCCTTCTAGTATATATTACATGAAATTAGTGATTGGGAATATAAGAGTACTATCAATTACTGGGGACTTAGTTTTCTTGCTCTGTGGTCTTATTTCAACTTTGATTAAATAAGAGTTTGAGATTGTGTGTGTGTGTGTGTGTGTGTGTGTGTGTGTGTGTATACATTTTCCCCTCTGAGTTAGCTAATTCTAATTAGGCTCTGACCCAAGTAAATTCATAATGAGTTACATAGAAATTATTAACTCTTCAGTTAACTGCAGTGAAAGACTATGAAAATTTCTGACAAATGGATATGGAAAGCACTATTTTTTCTTAAAATGGAAGCACTGTGGAGATGAATGGAGATGCCCTTGTGAGTAGAGTTCTGCTTTTAGGCTCCATCCTCCCCACCATAGAAAGTAGACACCGACCCATGTCTCCATGAGGGTGCTGGAAGGAGCTGGTGTCTTCTCGGCTCCTGGCGGACCTAATTTTTAAGGATCCCCTTTCCTTGCAAATGGTAGTGTCTGCAATAAGTTTTACTTCATGGGCAAGGTGTCAGACTTATCATCAAAAGCCTCCAAGCCCAGTGGTGAGTGTAGGATCTTATATAAAATCATGAATGTAACTGGAATTACTTCCTCTTTTGTGAGTTGAGAATGTTTACTTAGTTATGTTTTTATTTGGTTGGTATATACACACTCCCTATTGTGCAAAAAATTGGGCAGCAAATACAGAACTGCTGACATGGATGGAGGAGGTCATTGTCTATGGAAATAGCTTGTGCAGTGCTCTTTGGAATCTCAAATACTAAAACAACACCCGTGACTTTTCTTTATGATCTCTAAGATACCATACAAATTCAAGAGATTCTGACAACCAGAGGCAGAAAGTTAAGGCTAAAAGTTTAAACTACAAACATTTGTTAGGTTGAATATGAGACTAAAATAAAAGATAAGGATAGTCAGGCCTTGACTATTCACAAATTGCCTAGAATTTGTGATTGTTGTTGCCCTTTGATTCTCCTTCTCCTTCCAACCACCAACCATTGAATATTTCCCTGCTCATTAACACTTGGCTAGGAGTAGAAAGATAAAATGCTAATCAGCCAATCTGGCTAATTGTTAGCAGCAATGATCATTATTTTATTTTATTTTTCTTGAAGTTGAGGTAGGGAAAAGATGAAATCTTTTACTAAAATGCGGGCTGTAGATTTCTAAACTTTGTGCCACCTTCCCTTTCTTTTAGTGCATACATAAGTTCAGATACTTTGTTTTTAGTAAGATATTAAAGTGAACAAAAAATTGAGTAATTCATCTGTTCTCAAATGCTAATATAAGTTCATATTACAGATTTCCTATTGCCTAGTGTTTGGATAGTCTTAGTCTCCTACAAGGAAGCTTCAGGATTTAATAGTTGCAACTTTCAATGTAGCCCTATATAAATAACTGCACTTGCTCAGTGGATTTAGACTAATAGGGAATCAAGGTGGAGAAAATGACTTAAGACTACCCTCCCCTTTGCCTCTGCTAGACATTACAGGGCCCTCCCCACACCAAATAAGGGGAAGAGGAATGTTCTGAGCATTAAGGACACTAAGAATAAATCTGAGTTATCATGGATAAGATTACTTTCAACTCTTTAATTCATGTTTTCAGATGTAGACCCCAAGAACTGTAATTATCTTAGGAAAACTGCGAGGGATTAAGCAATACTTTTTAGTTCCCTTTCCTTCTTTCATTATTTCTTTATTTTTTATTGCCTATCTCTATTTGGGGGTGGGGAGCTGGTGTGTGTGTGTGTATGTGTGTGTGTTTCCCAGTGCCAAAAAAAAAGTACTGCAGAGTCCTAGGGAGATGAGGCTATTTTTATTTGAAGCTGATACTTCTGCCTGAGCCACAAGTGCTGCTTGGAAAGGGCTCAGGTTGTTTCCAGGGGGAGAACTCTGCAGAGAAGATACAAGTTCAAGAAGACACAAAGGAGCAGCAGGAACAGCCAGGAAAACCAAGAGCCCTCACTCTTCACCCAGAACGCCCCCAGCAGAGTTCTCGAATCCTAAAGTATTCTGCAAAGTGCCACTAGACCAGGACTCTTGGCCTGCCTTTTCCTCTCTGGAAACACCATGACTGAGATCACTGCCGAAGGTACTGCTACCATTTTCCGATAGTATCAACTAGAATACAAAGTAGAAATTGACAGTCAATGTGCCGACTTAAAATCTTGTTTTTAGTTCATTGCTTTGATCAAGTGACTCCATACGGGATCAGAGAAGTGGATTTGGGAGCTGAGAGGCGGGCAGAGCGGTGTGTTGGGGGAATGGGAAGAGATTTCTCGGAAATTTTGCATGTGGAAACTTTTTTGCTACTGCCAAAGGCCCCACTAGTGAATAGTGTCACCCACACCTCTATAAATAGCCGTGGCCTTGTAACATAGCTGATATCTCACCTAGCAAAAATACAAGGCTTGCAAGCATGGAGACCACAATGAACTTAAAATTTGTATTTCATGTTTCAACTTAGAATTTGAGTATTTTGTCTACTGGTATTTTAAAATAGAAATCCTAATTTATGTTTCCTTTCTAACTGGAGTATATAAATACACACACATACAGATTTGTATACAATTTAAGATATAAGTTCTCCCTCAAAGTTTTTTTTTTATATTTTACTAGAGACAAGGTTTGGAATTACAGAAAATCACTACAGATCAATGTGATTTCCAAAATAAAGCAATTTAAAACTGGCTGTATTCTGATTCTTTTTGTGCACTCATGTTTCTTTCCCCCCTAAATGATGAATTCTATCTTTATTTTAAAACAAATAATTTATTTCAATACTTATTCTGAAAAGGTGCATGCTATAAATAAAGCATATAATGTTTAATTATTTCACCATGGTAGTAATTGTTTTACATATGTATTATATGTAAAATGTATGTTTAGATGTAAATATACAAATGTATATATCTAATTATATATATCTAATTATATATATAGTTATATATAATTATAT